TGATCATGGGGGATAGGATGAGCCCCCATGCACAATCCGAGTGGAATTTAATATAATAAATATTCAATTTTCTGTTTTACATTGTTGTTGATTTTCCCTTTCCTTCTGTCTTTTTCTAATTCACGTAACACAGTGCCATAGGTTGCTGAAAGGTTGAGGCATATTGTAGCGATTGTGTGCTAAAAAAAAAATGCACACCTGGAATTCATCAACATTGTTCGAGAAATGTTGGTATTTGTCATTGTCAGAACGATTTATTCATACTTTTTCTAACATATATACAGGGCAATGGAGCATTTTAACAATTATAAAAAGATGAAGATTACGAACTGTAATTTATTTCAAAACAATTAATTTAAATTGGTAGATTGAGAAAAAAAATGCGCCCTCAGATGTTCTAGAGCTGATCGACAAGAAGTGCCAAGTAGGAGAAGGCACCCCCTGTTGTCCAGTCACACCCGTCAGTGGCCCTATATATTGGTCAGGATCATTCCACAATCAAATGTCAAGAATGAAAACAAAATATACACAGTTTGAAACACAGCAGCCAAATAAAACCCAGAAGAAGAATATTTGCTACATGTAACAAGGTCGTTATATTATATCCCTTATGGTAATCAATAAAATAATTCTGACATTAACCAAGGTTGTTGGAATTCCGTAACATCAACTTACTGGTCAATAGCATACACTGGTTTAAAAATTGATCGTACTAAGATCATGTTCCTAAGTGGGGAATATGAATTTGAGAGATGTAACCACCAAATCCAGGTAATTCAAAATAAGGAGAACTTGACGTGATCGCGTTTGTCATAGAGTGTACATGTAGTTGTTTGATAGTCCTTATAGTCTATGGTCAGTAAAGCAATTCATTGATAAAATACAACATTGTATATTTCATGACATTTACAATTTTGTGATAAATATTTAAAAAAAAAAATACCGGGTATCTTACAAAATGAGTTTATCAAGATTAATTGTAAATACTAGTGTGGCTTTAAGTTTATGCATATTCATATTACCTAGATATTTTAAAACTCCTCCTAGGTTAACTAAGAAGCTTGCGTTTATTCAAAGAGGAGTAAAACAATACATTGACTGCATTTCATCGTATCTGAGCAGATTATGCAAAACAAAAAGTGGAGTTTAAGGATAGGAACTTTCAAAAGTCTAGACGTCTTAACTAGTTTGTGGACCGACACTGTATTTATCTCAAGGATGTGTATTGTCAACTTTTGAACCTGTCTGAGGCGCAACAAATATTGAGTAACATTTTGACTGAGAAAACAGTAAAATATATTACCTTTTCACCACTTTTCTATAAGCATTGTCATTGTATGTCAACCTTTTCATACTTGTTATAGTGTATCTTCATATATGTAACAAAAACTAGCGATTTTTATAAAATAAAAAAATTAAAGAACGTGGGTCACAACACTCATATACCTTTCTCAATTCTTGCTGTTCCTACTTTAAGTTTTATAAAATTATTTATTCCCTTAAAACCAAAACGTTTGTCTAAAATGTCTCCGAATCCACAAAACCTGTGGATAGCTGTAGATCTGAAGCTCGACAACCGTTGAGCTATTACACTGTCTCTCATTGAAAAAAGTATACGCAGTACTATTTGCACAAAAAGCGTGCTGGTTCTCAAATTTTACAATTAAGGTATCAAAATATTACTAGTGCGAACCAGCACTACCTACAGAGTAATTATTTAATACGCATCCAATAAAATATATTCCTGAGTTCAAAGATGCTTCCATTTAGGTATGACCAATCAATATTTTGCTTTCTTAGGAGATTTTCTTCTATGTATTCCCATATAATTTTTAATGACGTTTCCTATGCAATGCTTTGGTCTCCCCTTGTGGTCTATCACTAGTCCTTTGGGTAATTATTTTAACAAACTTGAAAACTTGAATCTACGCTACCTGATTATGCTTCCACATAAAACATGGGTTTGCTGTGATCATTTTTGTTATTTTTATATAAAATTATTGTGTACCCATTGTAGCCCTATACAGTATTTCAGTCCTGAATTTACTGAAATTGATGGAGATTTTACGTGTCAGGTTCCATCCATTCTGGCCTAGAGGTTATTTTGAGGATATAAACGTTTCAACTCTTAATTTTGTCTCCTTTATAAGAGGGTGTTGATTTTCTTTTGAACAAATTTAAACCCCCTTTACCCAAGGATGCTATTTGTAGCATGCTTAGTTGAAATTGACCTAGTGGTTTTATTTTGAAATTACGTCTAAAATGTGAAAAGTTTATAGACGACACATCACAGACGGACTTATCCAGACAATCGTTGATCAGAAAGACTTAATCATACAAAAGTGAAGCCATCTTTAAAATAATGTTTGTTTACTGATAAAGTACACATGTATAATTAAATTTTCTTCAGTGGTAGGAGGAGTTGCAGATAAGAGATGGGTGCCCATGTTTTGCTATAGGAAACCCAAAATATGTGTAGGGTCAAAAAGTAAATAGGAGGTGCAAAATGACACTTTTCAATAAAGACTCTGTGAAAGTCCTTAATTTTCTTTCAGTGCATGGTTTTTATTAAAACATCCTTAAAGCTGGGTTTCTGATTAACAATATCTATGTATTCCTTTGAACAGCCTGTCGGAATTCAAATGCAACCCATTGTTAGCAGACGCATTTTTTGCATTCACATGAAACAAAATTTATTCAAAATGTTATACATGAAACATGTGGAGATAACAAACAATATTCATGATCAAAAGTCCATAAAACAATACAAAATAGGAGCAGAGGACACAGACCTCCAAAACATGAGAGGTGAGATTAGATGTCATGGTGTAGTGAGCATCCCCTTCCGACCGGTCACACCCGCCGTGTGCTCCTTTTCATGATCGGGAAATGACGGGAAAATCCGTCGTCAATTCAGTGTGTAAATAATGGACTAACAATAAGTATGGAAAACGTCAGTCAGCATTTGACTCAATGATAAAATGTATTTGCTGACAAGGTCATTGTATCGACCATATAACTTACGAAATGATGACTTTCAAGAAGACTGCTGATATTCTTGTTTTATGAACTTGTTTGTCAATAATTTATCTCGTTTTAGAAATTGTTCAAACGTAGAGCTTGCACTTGCGTATCGAATCAATTGAGATATATATAAACTCCGTAAGCAGGTGATGAAGGTATATTGCTGCATAAGTAACGGAAGTTGACGATAGAAAAGTTAGTCATCACGTTTATCATAGAGATTGGTTGTTAGATTACCATTAACCTCTTTTTCAAGCAAAATTTAAATTTGAAACAGATGTGTCAGCCTCTGTGGTATCTTTTATCTCAAGCTCCCCAGGATATATCCTATCAACATACATGTAAGAATGGAAATTACCATTGTTAAATGACAATAATTCGTCGATATATCTAAATGTCGACTTAAATTACACAGCAGGTGTTTTTTTCTCTTCACGCATAAGTTTTTGACAAATTCTGCATAATTTATATGAAAACAAAATATATGAGAAGAAACAAACACTTGCTGTGGCCTTTAACACGACATTAAGATATATCCCCGACGTATTTTCAGTGAACAATGGTTTCTTCCATTCAAACGTTAACTCGATATATCCCAGTGAACTTAAAGTAAAAGATAACACATTTTTTCTTCATTTTGTTATGTTTTACTGACTAAAGATGATAAACCTTAATACCAACCTAAAATTAGATTGAATGACAAACGAGATGAATTCAGTATTTCCTTATTTGTTCAGCTATATTCTGCGATCTCCTGCATATAATAACGTTTTCTCATTATGTATGTAATGCTCAAAAGTATTGTACGATCAATTTCTAAACCACAAAAAAAAAGTCTTTTGACATGATGGGATGATGTTTCAGGGATTTCAATAACCTCATGAAAAGTCAGCAATTCGTAAATTCGATGGTCTTGATAGTAACCTTGTTAGCAAATCTAACCTTAAATTTGGATGTATTTTGGCTGAATTGCTTCATTCCTATTGTTAGACCTTTGTTTTTAAACTGACAAAGAAATGTTCCGTCTACTTGATCCTTACATAGAGCTCAAGCAGGTGTGGCTGATCAACAGGGAATAGTTACTTATCTTAGGCACCTGCTCACAACGCTAGAATTTCCAGCAGGTTCCTTACAGATTTGTTGTTTTAAATTTTTTTGGGTTTAATCTCTGTTTGTTATCTTTTCCCTTTTTCATTTCAAAGTACACTGTATATGGAGAGAACGATCATAGGCATTTATGCCTGCTGTTCAATCCAATTCTATGAATAAAATATATTTTAAACCACACTGGAAGTGTGCATCCATTGATGCATAATCCATGCATGTTTGGTGACATATCAAATTTCACGTTTTACAATCTAAATCCCTAGCCAATCATTTTGCTGGTATAATCCATGCATGTTTGGTGATGTTTTACATTCGAAATCCCTAGCCAATCATTTTGCTGGTAAAATCCATTCATGTTTGGTGACATATCAAATTTCACGTTTTACATTCGAAATCCCTAACCAATAATTTTGCTGGTATAAAACTTTATAAGCATGAGAGAAAAGAGGAAAAATCCAGAGGCATATTAACATGCTAGTCATGTAAAAAATAAGGGAAGAACTTTAAAAAATCAATAAAAATCAAAGAAAAAACGTTTGTCCACAATTTATTCTCAAAATTGATTTTTTTCTCTGCACATTTTGAATAGTCAATAACAGAAATGGCTGCAAAAGTAAAAAACAAAATTAACAAAAATTTTGATCCCAAAACCATTGACTGTAAGATACTGAGTATTTATATTGTAAAAACTGACTCTTTAACAATAAAAATTTTATAGTATTTCATCACTTGCGTAGATCTAGAGCTTTGTGGAATGAATAAACTTTTTCTGGAAAAAAAACGTTGTTCATTGGAATGTGAATACACTCATAGCCTTGATCACACCCTTGAGGTTCTATACTTTTTGGGAAAGAATTTTACAGAAATTTCTAGCTTTTTAGGGTTAAACTGGTCAAAGACTCTTCAGCAACAGCTCCTAAAACAAAAGTTTATTTTTGATTACCAAGGTAAAAATTCAAATAAAAGGATTATTTTAAAAGTTATGAGAAATTCAGGTTATAAAACCAATAGAATACAGGACGAAAGACCAGACAGGAAGTTCATACCAAGGCCAAGTTTTAACTTATAAAACCTTTTACATGTCTTGAAAGTTTCTATTTGTTCTTTATATTGAAAAACTCTGATCAAGATGCAAAGTCAAAGGGAGAGAATAAATATACATGTAAATATCGTAGAAAAATAATCTTGGACAACCAGGCAGACAGCTGGACAACATACATGTTAACCTATTGTGATGAAATAGGATTCAGACCTCAAAAGCGGTAGCATTGCGCGCGCGTTGTTTTACCCTTGGATTATCGATATATTTCATGTAATATACATGTATATAAGCCTTAAATGAAACCTACAATAATTAATCTAAAATATCAACTGCAAAGAAGAAGACAGAAACACCTTAAGTTTGACATAAATTGTATAAACTCAAATATTTTTCATGCTCATCATTTTGGTTGGATTGGCTGCTTAACTTAGCCTTTTGAAGAGTGATCTTTGCTGATATAGCCTAGAAGCAATAAAATGTTTGTTAAACAAAACAAATGATGACAATTTTTCTCAAAATTGATTTATCTTTCGTTATATTTTGAATAAGCATTAAGCAATAACAGAAATGCTGTAAAATATTAAAATCAAAACAAAAATTTGATCCCAAAACCATTGACTCAAGTTACTGAGTATTTATATTGTAAAAAAAAAAACAACTCTTTAACAATAAAGATTTGGTAATGTTTGATCACTTGCGTAGACCTAGTCTAAGAGCTTTGTGGAATGAAAAATCTTTTTTTGGAAAAAAAATGTTGTTCACTGGAATGTGAATACGAGACTGAGATGGCCAAAAATGGATACAACACCCTTTGAGGTTTTGTAGAAAAGCGGTTTTCTGAATTAAATCGGAGGGCGGGAGATAGGAAAAGGCCACACCCCATCTAGAGTTAACATGTATGCTGCTGAAAGGGTTAAACTGGAATCATAAAAGTCATCCACAAAAATGCTCCTGAAACACAAGTTTTATTTTGATTACCAAGGTAAATATTTAAATATGATAAGGGTGATTTCAAAAGTATAAGAAATTCAGGTTTATTTTACAAAAAACTCAGGGCATTTTTAAAAAGGTCCTGTCAACGTTTACTTCAAAAAGGCCTTCTACATGTTTTAAAAGATTTTTTTACTATTTGAAATTTTGTATCCCATTCACAAGTATTTTATTTTCATGAATATCTTTAACAATTATATATTTTATAAAAATCAGCATAGATGTTGAAATTTTTTATAAAAAATATTTTCCCACTTAACTACCTGCCAATTTTTTTTTTACCATGAGTTCACAGAAGACAAACAGTCATTTTTTTAAAGATGGCCTCAATAATCCATGAATACCTGATATATCTGCCATTAGTTTGGTGCTTTCTGCTGCAGAGAACACCACCACATTCCCTGACAAACAAGCGGGGGCGGGGAATGATTTTCCCTGCACAGCCAACAAAACAGCCCCTCCATTACAAGTTGTCCCTGACGCCTGAAAACCGTCACTAAGTCCGATGGTTACCATGGCAGAGTATGTTCCAGGACAGTGGTCTGCTTGTAAGAACTCAACCTGAGAAATGAAAAGTAATGTATTTGTTTTAAAAGGTATGTTGTTATCATGTACAATGTATGAAGACTTTAAAACAACCTTATTTTTATTACTGGGTTCATGGTGAAACTGATCAATTTGGCCATAATACAGATTAGACCATCAAAAAATAAGCTTCAAATAATGTTAAAATTGGTAAATATATAATCAATTCAAATGTAGTCATCCATTTACACATAATAAACTTATAATTATCTTTTCTTTCTAAGGAGATTCTAAAATCAAAGCAAAGAAGGGCAAAATTGTTTACTGAAGCCATACCTGTAGATTTTGTTCTTTGGCCATTGCTGGAGCGTTGATCAGATTTAATGTTACACCATCACCCCCGGGTTGTTGTTTTGTTGTCAGGTACCCAGCTAGTACAGCTGCACCGAGGTAAGAGCCAGACTGTTTTAGAGAAGAACCTGTAATACACATAAATGAATAGGTTTGGACACAGAACTGAAATCACAGAATTTTCATACACATGCAATGATAAAATGAACTTTCAGTTCTATTTTAAATCACAGAATGAATATGATATTCAAAACTGGGACATTAAAAACATTTTACATGTATTTACAATGGGATTTTTTTAGTTAACATCTCACTTAAAAGGTAGACCTAGTAATAAAGAAGCCTTTAACAAATTCTGTAGAGGACTTTTTCCAACGTTTCTTATAGATTTCTATATAGAATCTAAATTATAAGAAATAACAATTCGAGGTCCCAGACATTCAAGATGAAACTCTGTTATTCAGTTCAGGGACCATTCCAATAACAGCAGTTTCATCTCTTCTCAATGACTTTCTTTTAACCAATTTTTTTTATGTTACAGTATCAGGATATTTTGGTGTATTTATCAATTCATTTCACAATATTTCCATATTTGTAAATCTTTAGAAACAAAAAAAAATAATTTCATTTGTACAAAGAACAAAAAAATAAATACACAACATTTCAATTTAATATGCGATTTCGAGATTGTAACTCTCCTGCGATAGAGGCGCAAAAAGTATCCATTTCAGCATGGAGGTGGGACAGTTTGTTTATGTATACAAACGTGCATAAATAAATGAACGATGTTTATGGCTTTTAAAGTTTATTTAATGTTATAGAGAGATAAAAGTGTTAAGCAGTGATGCATTTTATGATTTTATCAAGCTCAACTGTGTATATTTATATATATATTGAAAACGAAATAAACGTCGTGGTCTTTATAAAAAGTAAAAGATTTTCTTGATTTTACAAACATTCTCTAAAAAGTTAGTGGGTTTTTTTTAAGTTATAATAAGGGAAAAAAATCAATGTGTCATTTAGATTGCCGACATGTAATGATCAGATTCATGTTTACCGTATTTATTAGAGGTCCATATATCTCTTTCCTTGTCTGAAAAGTCTCACATCCACTGAATTTTCTTTTTTGTTCCGATTTTTTACTTTAATTCAGTTATTCTCGAGTTGAACAGTGCATCCTTACAATTATATAGTTACGATAAACCAGTATATCGATGATGCGATAAATCTGTCCCACCTGTTTGTTTGGCATCCCCTCCTCAACGAAAGAGCGCACCAAGGGAAATAATCTCGAAACTTGCATATTGGTACACAAGTAATTGTATTCAAATTAACTTACCTAATGCAGTGACTTTAATATTTCCTGTGGCTTGACCCCCAACATGACCTGCCAGTTGACCTAACCTTTGACCTAAGGTCACCCATGCTCTTGACTCTTCAGATAAAGCATCTGTCATGGCATTTGCATTTATCTATTTTAAAAAAAAACAAATTTCTTATCATGATTTTTTTTCTAATTTATCTTTGAAATCCTCTAAAATACATAATCAAGTAACCATATATACTGTATATTGTTGAATATTAATGAGACCTTGAAATTTAACCATTCATTAATAGGTATATCTTTCTAAAAATAAAAAAAAAATTGATATAGAATTAATTTTTTTTGCTATTTCTGTATTCTGTGGATAAAACTGAAACTTACTGCACCAAAGAGTTGTTTCCCTTTGACAAGATCTACAAACTGTAGTGCTATTTCTATGGCTACCCTCTTTTGAGCCTCTGAAGTGCTGGCCCCCAGATGGGGTGTGGCAACCACTTTAGGGTGTTGTGCTAATGTAAAATCTTTAGGGGGTTCCTGGAGGGATAAAAAAAGTTCTGTAAATTAACATGAAAAAAAAGAAACATTTACAAATCTCCTACATGTAATTTTTCTCAGCGTTAATGGCTATATATATAATATATTTTCCAAACAATTTGTAACAAAAAATATTTTAACCGTTTGTAACCAAAACTTCCAAATATATTAATTTAACTGAGAACTCTTAATGGAAAGAGGTCACATATAATCATTCATCAATAAATACCTTCAAATTGTCTTTCTTTTACTGGTACATGCATGAAATATTGCACATGTCTATCATTTAAAAAGTACCCCCCCCCCTCTTCTCTATACCTTATTCTACTCACTGACAGTTTCTACCAGCAACAGAGACTTACAGAAGTGAACACGTCCAGCCCTGCCCCTCCACACTGCCCCGACTCTAGGGCCCTCAGGAGGGCTTCCTCATCAATAATGCCTCCTCGGGCAACATTTATAACTCTCACTCCCTTCTTACACCTTACAAACACTTCATCATTAATTAAGTCTACAAAATTCAAAAAATTGGTCGTTAATACAATCTAAATCTACATGGTGTTTGTATTAGTATTTTTTCTTAGTACTATTATTTTTTTAGCAATATACGACTCATGTATTCTTTAGGTCCAATTTATTAATTTTCTAGATTTGTCAATTAATTTTCCAGGAAAAAGATTAATTCATAAAAAAGAACTGAAAAATTGAAACTAACTTCTTGTTTGTCGGATAAGAGGTGTGTGCACAGTAATGAAATCCACCAGGGGCCATAAATCCTCCAAAGGCATGGACTGGACTCCAAACTTAGCACTGACCTCTGCGGGAATGATAGGGTCAAATCCAATGGTCTAGAGAGAGAAAAAGAAATATGCACATTTCCTATTACATTTTTGATCAAAAACTATGAAAATCAAAGCTCAGGATATTTTAACATTTGGTTTGCACTTTTCTAAAGTTGTACAGATAAAAATTCAATGGTGTTTCAATTCATTTTAGGCTGTTTAAATTTAATTCTACGTTTAACGTCACATCTAAAGTTCAAAACCTACGAGGGAGGGAGGAAAAAAATAAACAAACAAAATTTTCAAACAATTGTGAATTTATTCAAATTAACCAATTCAGTACATTAAAAACATTACAATTAAGTAATATTTTCCTTTAGTATGTAAATCAGTTTGAGTCCTATTGTTAGCAAACAATGTAGTCTAAGACTGAATGTGCAGGAAAGTGGCTTTTAACTAGGCCTCAGTTGTCCTTTGGATTTATATTGCCACACGTCCATGGTACCCTGGAGGCAAATGCTTCTTCTTGTACACTTTGCAAACAATCAAAATTATTGATGACAATATTTTAAAAGTGTTCATGAAATATCCTCAAATTGAATTATGTTGTATTTTTCTTAGTACTAGATCTACTAGCATTAAGTTTTGAAAGTGTAAATACTAATATTTGGACCATACTGATAGCTGTTAGATTATCTTTAATACCTTGAATTCCACACAAAAGACAGGATTCTTCACAGGAATACCCCAACCACTTTCCTTACTCTCCTTCACTTGAAAGGCCCTATCTTCGGAAAAGCTTCTCCCTGCTCAAATGGTTATGACAAGTATATTATCTTTCCCAAAAATTGTAGCTCTATTTGTAGGTACATAAATTATGAAGAAATCAATTACTTTACTCATTACTGTTCCTTTTGATTTTTACAGAAATATTTTTAATATGAAACATGTTAGTAAGATTTAAATGATGCTTTTCACTGTATATAAATCTTGGTTTTTGACACAGTTTCCACTCAGTAAAAAAAGTTTTCGATTCTCTCCAAAATACAATGAAAAGTTCAGCCAATAGAATCACGAACTGAGAGTCTGTCACTGTATTTCATATGAAAGTCTTTGACAAAAAAAATCAACAAACAAGACTTTGTCATTAATATAATCATAAAATAATCTATTTTTTACTTACATTTATGGTCCCAAACTCTTTAATTCTCTAGTTTTCATTAATAAGACAAACTGCCTTAACTGCGGCTATCAAAGCACATTTTCTGTCACTACGGGAAGCAGAATATATCGCTAATTGAAGAACCAAACCGGAACGGACATACAATAATTGTTTGTTTTTTTCAAAGACGAATTTCTCATAAACCTACGCGCGCGGGTGACGTTAAACGTAGTTTTAATTTTAAACAGCCTTAGATGAAACAATGTCATGAGAAGGAATTCAGACAATAAATAGTTCTCTGCCATTAAAACCAGAGGGGACCATATATAGGTTTCCTTCTTCCTGTATAGTTATAATGTCTATCAGTCTGTTCAACTTTTTAGCCTGAACACTTCCAGATATTTTACTGATTATTGGCATGTGGGTGAATCTTGCATTTATTTTGCTTCAGTCAATTTTGACAAAGTATTTTAATTTTTAAGGGCAAACAGATTATATTATATATTATATTAGCACTTAAGGAACTAGCATTGCTTTTCAGTCCCTAAAAAGTGAAGCCTGATAGCACTATACATTTTATCCTCATTTGTCTAGCTGTCTGTTTGTTCCTCTGAGAGACTGAGTCTGTTTCACTTGGTTTTCTGCCCTCTTATATCTATAGGCTTCCAGACAGTCCTCTCTTACAAACCTTCATGCCAAATGACTGCATTCTGAGTGCCACCTCTTTCCCAATACGCCCCAATCCCACAATTCCTAGTGTCTTTCCATGAAGCTCACATCCCATCAAGGCCTTCCTTTCAGACCATTTCTTTGCCTTCATTGCTTGATCACCATTATGTATATTTCTGAACAAAAAATGAAACGTTGATAAGTGTTTTGTTGTGCATTTTTATACTTCAGAGAAAATGTCAGTGGAATTTTATACTTATAAGAAGAAAATTTATTATTTTCTTTAACTTGAAATTAAATAAAACAAAATATTATGCTTTTATGACAGCTATAAATTAATCTAACAATTAATAAAATAGCATTTGTATGTGCATTCTACAAGAAGCAAATGAGAAACAAAAACATTTGAAAAATAAGCTTTGAAACAAATTTCTCTGCCCCATTTGCACCTTTTGTACTTGTCATTTTAATAAGGTAAGTGTAGAGAGTGTGACAATTCATCTTCAGAGACATAACAGAGAAACTTCTAGTTGGCATTCACATGTTCTACACTGGAACACTCTTCTGTTTACCTGTCTGTAACTTACACAGGTGAGTTCTTACCTGGCAACACAGCAGATGAGTGTGCACGTCAGTTCTGCTGCACTTAGAGTATTTCCTCCAGGTGTGCTAAAAGAATTGAAAATAAATAAAAATTTTTAATTTTAATGACTCTTAATTATTAATTACAAGTACAGAGACATTCACTCCTAAACATTTCATATACACAGTGCTGCGCATTATGTCATTACATGATGTATAGCTGTAATGCACTGAATTGTCAACATCATTTGTGCTGTCAAAATATAACAAACATGCCATCAAATTGTTATTTATTCAAAACCGCAGACAAAAATGTGTCTTTCCAGAATGGCTGCTCAGGTAACCTCAATTCTCGAGAAATGCCAGTTCAGCAGTTTAATTGACAGAGACCTTTCAAAATTTTTGAGTTTTTTTTTTTTCATTTACCACTACGACAGTCAGGAATTTTTCATAGTAGCTAAGAAACAAAAAAACTTTTCTCTCTTAATCATCAATGATGTCAAAAGGAAAAAAAAAAAATAAATTATCAATTTCATGAAGATCAGTTTTTCTTAGGAGTGTATGGGTCTCAAAAAATGGCAGCAGAAAGGTGAACAAATTTTTGGATTTTGATCAGAAGTTTGCAAGTGTTGGTTTTTTTCAGAACAGGTCAGTCAAGATCATGCTGAACAAAAAATGATTTTTTTTTTTGGTTTTAATACAGGGTTAAATTGTCCCTAAAAGGATTGACATAGCAGGGGATATTTTTTTTTAAGTAGAGGGGTGTCTAGAGTTCCTCCCCCAACAGGAGGTTAAGGGGGGATTCCATAATAAATAGGAGATAACACTTTAAGTGGGGAAATTTCCTTGCCAAGAGGTCTCAGGGACAACTCTGTGAATATATCAATAATGAGATTTTGAATTAAAAAAATTTCCCCCCCCCCCTCCTTAATATAAATTCAGATTTATGGGTTAATACTTCTTACTTCATGACAATGATTCCCCTTTTGGTGGCCTCATTACAGTCAATGTTGTCCACCCCTGTGCCAGCGCGTCCAATAATCTTCAGCCTTTTCCCAGCAGCGATGACATCAGCTGTCACCTTGGTAGCTGAACGGACAATCAGACCATCATGATTCTATAAAAAGCAGATATATAAATGATGAACTTTTCCCTTAGAGTGTATTTCTAACTATATATACTTATATTATAATATGTGCATGCATAGACAGGCATTTCATCTAATATAGTTGAACTTCGATATCTTGAACACAGATTTCTTGAATACCATGGATATGTCAAAGTGATTTTGAAGTCCCAACCACATATTCTTAGTATTTTACCCCAGATATCTTGATATCTTGAATTTTTTTTCTTGGTCATATCAAGTTCGAGATAACAAGGTTTGACTGTAAGTCATTCCTTTACCAACCATTTCTACATTGTATGGTCAGAAAAAAATATGTCAACTGGCATCTCAAAATAAATATTCAGAATGACAGTTACCACATGGTTACATGTACATGCATGATGTACTTTTTCTCCCCCAAACATAACAAGGAGCACAAGTTGGGTGTGACCAGTCGGTGATTCTATAAAATGGCAGATATATACCTCTGACGTTTTGGAGGTCCATGTTTGCTTGCTCATTTTATAATCAGTAATGTTAAACTTTTGATATGGAATACCATGGATATCTCCACATATTTTGTTCCTATAATTTTTACTTTATTAACATGATTAAAAAGAGAAAAATGAAATGTTAAATCTTAGAGTAATTTTTTAACCATTAGACCCTCTGGTCAAGGACCAAGTCGGCCCATTCACAGTAAATGGGTACAGAGACCTATCCAAAGGAATAGGCAACTCTCACAAGTCTCACAATATCTTGTAAGTCGCAGGATTTTATATGTCAACTTTAACCAATTATATCTCTAATACTAGCTATCAAATATTTAACCATGTAATTGTATAAAACAATTGTTTTTACATCATATTTTACCAAAGTATATCATTTGGCCCTGAAAACAAATAGAAGCGCAGTTATACTGTGAAATAGTCAATATGTCCTTTGCCACTTAACAGAATTAGATGGTTTGGGATAAACTTCAAGTATTATATTGATCTTTCCTATAGTCCTGTGTGTCTCTGGTTCTCCTAGACAATAAAATTGTATTGCGCATCAAGGACATGCAGAGCAGTTTTTATTTATTTTGCTTTTTAAGTGAATGAAGTCCTTCATTCTAAGACCTGCTTATAGGAAAGAAAGTTTTCTTCACCTCATCTTAAAATGGCAACAGCTGCTTGCTGACTGGAATTCATAATTAACTTTTTTTAATTTTATATATATAATATTTTACAGATCTATATTAAAAGTTAAAAGAATTAAAGTCCATTATAGTCTAATACTTTTAATAAATCAATGACAAGAGATATTAACCAATATCTTTTTCATGCATTTATATAACAAAACAAATCAAATTACAAACTCTGGTACATAAATTACATGTAGAGTAGTCTCCCCCTGAATCGCATTTTCCCCAACGGGATACTTACAGGGATTTCTTTTAGCAGCTCCTCCTTCGAGAGTTTAGTATTTTTCAGCACTTTAATTCCATTTTCCTGAAGAACATCGACGCATTTCTGGTCAATCTCGTCTGATATTAACACGGAGCTCAAATTCACTGACATGCTGCTGTCTCGGATTGAATGAAGAAGACCGCGGTGTAAACGTGGCCTTGAAGTTAAAAATAGGCTATTTCGAAACTTGCGCACTGTCAGCACACTGTCTCTAAATGAACAGTTTGAAGTGAGTTTCACAACTTTATGACAGTCTTTTTATAAGACATTATAAGTGCAGTTTACTAAAATATTGTTTCAATATTCTTTATTCTTTAATTTTGAAAAAATACAATGATAAATTTCGCAACATGTTTATGGCAGTGTAAAAATAGAAATCCACGTGTTGTTGTACGGAGGTTCATCAATGATAAAAATAAACGAAAAAATCTCAACTTTGTAAATGAATGAAATGTTGGTGTACGAAAAGTTCAAATATATTACAATTTTACGTAAACAAGCAAATTCAAAGAATTGTGGTCCTCCGCTTTCGGTGTTTTTTGTGGGGGAGATGTCATTTTTTATGACATATTGTCTCAAATATGAACGCCCTATCATATGTCATGTGGTTCTTGAGGAGAAGGTTTTTCCTTTATATTTCTATGTAAAAATTGGATTCTCTATTGTAGCTCAGCTCAACTCCCAGGAGCATGATTTGAACAATTTATCATCTACACTACCGCAGGACGCTTTCACATACATATTATAAGTTTCAGGTTTTCTAGCCCAGTGGTTAATGACGCCAACCTATTTTTGTATTTTCTTTGCTTATTTCCCCTTTTTCTTCCCCTTTTTCTATTTATCATAACAATTTAAACTCCTCCTCACTTTAGGATGCTTTGTACAAAGTTTGATTAAAACATTAAAATATGTGAAATTTTCCTTCACCTTAGGATATTTTGTACCAAGTTTGGTTAAAATTGGCCCAGTGGTTCTTGAGACGAAATTGAAAATGTGAAAAAAAAGTTTACAGCTAGACGGACGGACGGACGGATAACGGGTGATAAGTAAAGAGGTGAGCTAAAAAAAAAACCCCAAAAATAATCAGGAGACCTGGATTTTATTTATTTACCTTATTTTTCATTGAGTAATGAACACAGGAACGGATCTCCATAGAAATGTTTGACCAGTTATAGTTTGATGGAAAATTTTACGGTTATTTTTAGTACATGTACATATATTTTCGCCTGACAGGCGACAAAAGTTCGCCATCGTTGCATGCATGCTGATCTGGGATGAAAAAAAATCCAGGGCTAGGGAGATAATTGTACATTGGACTTTTAAAATATTCCATGCATAATACTTTTTGTTAGTGATATAAAATGAAGTCTGTCGATCATCATGACCAGCTAGATAATATAAGACCCAGATGGATGGAAATATATGATAATATCAAAAGTAAAATTTTAAACAATCATTATATTTTTCAAAGTATAACTTGACGTTTAATTTGGTACATTACATCTTTACCTGTATACTTGTCCCATCAGACAAGTCAGAATACATGTATAAATATCGTGTGACCATCCTATGAAAGAAAAACCTCAACAAAGCCAAATAAAAACTTTACAGATCAGATGAGGGCTTTAATGCAAGCGAAATAAATAAGTTTTTATCAATTTTAGATAATTAGGACATATTTATAATGACTACGTTTTAATTATATATATATTTTTTGCTTCAACGTCCCTTATTTATGAAGTAAGATACCTTTAGCAACCGCACTTGGTTTTATATCTCTCAGCTTATTCAATATGCAAGGGAATAATTTACGTATGAACAATTTCTATAACGAGGTAAGTTAAAATTACTGATAAACAAGTAGATAAAACAAGAATACGAACAGTCTTGTTTAAAATCATTTCTTTAGTTCTATGGTCGATATAAAATATAAAATGCTGACGAATGTTTTTCATCACAATTGTTAAGCCATTATTCACATACTGAATTGTTGACAGATTTTCCCATAATTTCCCAATCATGACAAGGAGCACATGCATGGTGGGTGTGACCAATCGGCAGGGGATGTTTACTCCTCCATGGCACCTGATCCCACCTCTGATGTTTTAGAGGCCCGTGTCTGCGCTGCTTCTGATTTGTATGCTTTATATGAATTTTTGCATTGAGCCTGAAAACTGTTTTTTTTTATCTCAATATATTTCATTCCAAAGTAATCGTGATTTTAATAAGCTTTAATTCAAATATTTAGTCGCATTGGTATACATGTAAAGTGAAATACTGACATAATGTTAATTGCTGTGCGTTATTTAAGCTGTTGACACAAAAATAAAATTAAACATACATGTAAAGTTTGTGTGTTATTTCAACAAACAATTTTATAATTACTTCACATACATCTACAGTGTATTGACTGAGCTGATGCGGTTCATATGATTGTGGTATACAGGCTTTATAATAAGTGATGGCGATCACATGACTTAAACTAGCTGTCACATCTAGATGAATTTAGTTGAAAATGACTAAACGTTTATGCCACTATTGTATTTCCACATTTATATTTATTAAAATAGAAAATTTTATAATAAAAGCAAAATTTTCTAATAAAAAATATGGGAAGACACATTATATGTATGTGTTTTAATTGGTAAGTCTGTGATTAATCATAAATAGGATAATTTGTGACATGGAAACATTTGATAAAATTCTTGAAAATTGTCATCTTTTATTTACGAATTAAAACGTTTAATAATAAATGAACGATGAATTTTCATACAAGAAAGCTGCATGCGTTTGCCACATCTTATTACGAAACACATGTTTATAAGTTGACGGTGCTTAAAAAAAATACATTATAGGTGCAAAATTTATATCAGAAATTGCTTAAGAATGGGGTTTGCAGATTTGAATAATTCATGATTTTATTAATATGTGCATCTCTTAATACAACATTGATATAATTACTTTATCTATAGCAAGGTAAAATATGATAAAATAAGGTAAGTTGAATTATGTATGTTCAACATTATATATAATTGCATATAGAATGAAAAGGTTATGCATAATTCCTTGTTTGAGCATAGAAACTGTAAAATATCTGTTGTTTTCGAAATGATCACATTTTAATTAGGAATGAATTAAAAAAAAAATGCTTGAATATCCTACCAGGTCTGTGAAAATCATGTCTAGATTACAAAAATATTGACTGCTGTAAAGGAGAGACTTTAGAAGTACGATGATACAGAATATTATAAAAGTGTCGTAAACCAGTTGTGGATATTCTAAAACTCAAAATAACGTTGAAAAATAATGTGGATCCACTGGCATAATGTCAAAATGTACAACTTCTCTTCATTTTATAAAGTCATTCCTCATGATCATTTAAATACATGTAAAGGCTTTTTGAAACCATATATACAACCGCTTTTTCAACAAAAAAAGGAAGTAAAAAATTTCTCTATCTTTGTTAAAATCACTATGCTCCCTGAAGCTGATATAAAAAGAATACTACAGGTGGAGTTCCTCACTGTCCACATCTATGTAGCCTTCGGAGACCATGCAGGTCTTCCAACAAAATGTTAAAATTGCAACGTGCTCCTTTATAATCTGACTTGTTTCCTACGAAGCAAAATTTATTTTAAAAACTTATACCAGAGAAGAAAAAAACCCGGCCACTTATGCTGGCCTTAAACTCGACGTTTAGATCAATCAACGAGTTGAGCATCTCATGCCGACCGGTCACACCCCCATATGTTCCTTGTCATTATCAACAAATAGCAGAAAAATCTGTGGACAACTCAGTATGTAAATTAAGCTAACAATCAGTATGAAATAGAATTTGACCTATAAATGATAAATTGTATTTGCTGACAAGGTCAGACCATAGAACTTACGCTATAACTTTAAACGAGACTGCTAATATTCTTGTTTCATAAAACTTGTTTGTCATTAATTTAACTCGGTTTAGAAATGGTACATATGTAGAGAATGCTCTTGCATATTGAATCAACTGAGAAATGTAAGCTCCGTATGCAAGGGAAGACGTGGATTAAAAAGTTAAAGTCATCATGTTTATCATAAAGCTTGGTTGAAAGATTACCATTAATGTCTTTTTCAAGTAAATATCCAAATACGAATCAGGTGTTTCAGACTCTGTGGTATCTTTTATCTCAATCTTACCTGAGATATATCGAATCGACAAAAGAATGAAAATACTTGCAACCTTTGTTAATCGACAATACGTCGTCGATATATCTAAATGTCGACCTGAAAGTCACATCAAATGATTTTTTTTAACTTATAAAATTATTTATTGCACAAATTCTGCTTTATATGAATACAAAAATAGGTCTGTTAATAACGGGCGCATTTGGTATCAATGAAAATTCAAATAGTTTTTTGGAAGACCTGGTCTGTAAAACCACATAGATAATGTCAATCAGAAAATCAAGCATATTTTTGATGTCAACTTCAGATCTAGAGTACTTATGTGTGCAATCGGAATGCTTTTTTCACAAAATATTTTTACAAATGACCAATGACAAGGTAACTAAATTAACGAGTTCCATTTTTATTGAAAAAGCAGCTGACAATGATTAAAAAAAGCTTGGACTTTAATTTAAGGCATCATCATGGGGAGAGTTGGTATATAAAGTTGAAAAATCGTAAGTTTTTTTACTGTTGATTTTGGTAAGATCTCGTGATTTCAAATTTTCCAAAAGTTCCTTGGAATTTTAAAGTATCCACATCTGATATACACCATGCACTTCCCGAGAACATAGTTGAACAATACTATTGAAATTTCTCCTTCACCATTGTTAATTAATCTTGGTGAGGAAAAAAAGAAAGAGGTTTAGTTGAACATTTTCTGGGACCCGATATGAAATTCAGTCTTTGTTTGTAAGGATTTCTATGAAGTTTCGAAATCAAATATAGATATGGTAGTTCAAATTCATTATGGTTGTTTGGGATATTAAAATATTCAAACTGAATTAGGATTTTGATGAATTTCATCCTAAGAAAGGAAACTATGAGTATAAGTAGGATTACCACTTGTAGAATTAAATCCAAGTTCTTCTAAAATACAATTTGTGTAATAAGCCTTGCAAACGAAGAGAATGCTGTTGCCAGCTTATTTACTGTCTTTATAAAATTTCGAATAGCTCCAAATTATCAAATTT